TTAGTTAGTCCAATGCGGAGTGAGACAATAAGTAAAACGTGTGGTGCATGCCCGTCATGGAAGAAGGTTTCTGATTGGAAAGCAGGCTTGCATGGAGTTGGCATGGTGGCTTTAGGCCATCCACCCAGAGGGAGGGAAGGGAGGGAGGGAGGAGGGAGCAGGGAGGAGGGACGGAGGGACGGAGGGATGGAGGGAAGGAGGGAAGGACGGATAGATGGATGGATGGGTGGATGGATGGATGGATGGATGGATGGATAGGTGGGTGGATAGATGAGGGAGGGATTGATGAATGATGGAGGGAGGGAAGGAGGGAGGAGGGAGGGAGGGACAGAGGGACTAGGGGCGAGGGACAGGGGCTAGGGGAGAGGGACAGAGGGACTAGGGGCGAGGGACAGATGGACTAGGGGCGAGGGACAGAGGTAAGGAGGGAGGGAGGGACGGGCAGAGCAAGTCTATGTGGCTGCGAAAGAGAATGGATGGATGAAGGAGGGATTGATGGGTGGATAGATGAGGGAGGGATTGATGAATGATGGAGGGAGGGAGGGAGGGAGGAGGGAGGGAGGGACAGAGGGACTAGGGGCGAGGGACAGGGGCTAGGGGAGAGGGACAGAGGGACTAGGGGCGAGGGACAGAGGGACTAGGGGCGAGGAACAGAGGTAAGGAGGGAGGGAGGGACGGGACGAGCAAGTCTATGTGGCTGTGAAAGAGAGTGACAGAGAGACAGAGAGAGAGATGGGGGAGGGGGCACGGAAGAGCTGGCGAAGGACCTGGAGAAGCTGGGGAAACAGGAAGAAGCTGAAGGAGGAGGAGGAGGAGGAGGTGAGAAGGGAGAAATGAAGGGAAAAAGGAAGGGAAGTTGGGGGTGAAGAAGTGAGGGGGAAATAGAGGGAGGTAGGAAGGGAGAAAGGAAGGGAGGGCAGGAAGAATGAAGAAATCAAAGAGGGCTGAAAGGAAGATAGGATGAAGAAAGGGCAGAAACAAAGGAAGAACGGAAGAAAGAGAAAGAGGAGAATGAAAGGAAGAGAGAAAAGACACCGATAGGCTGCTACAGTGCTCTGTCAATTGGGATGAGCAGTAGGAGACAGTGCAGTCACTGCATAGCGGAATAGGCTAGAAAGGAAGTCGGGCATCATAGCTGGTTGGGCATCCCTACACTATTAAAATCGCTAACGTGACAAATCTGAAATCCGGGCCGTCGTCGGTCCTACGGGCCCACAGCCCAGATCGACCGAACCATGTGACAAATCTGCCATCTGGGCCGTCTGGTCCTACCAGACCGACGGCCTGGATAGATGCGGTCTTAAGATCTTAGGACCGCGCCGAGATCCAGGCCGTCGGTCCGGACCGACGGCTCAGATAGACGCGCCGAGTGCCGTGGGGTACTACCGGAGTTCGCAACGTCGGGCCCACCCAACTTTCCCGTTGGACTGGCCGTTGTCGTGCAGCGCCCTCGGTCCATTGTATTTGGTGTTGTCGTGCTTCTGCTGTTGCCGTGAAGCACGCCGTGCGCCCGGTTGTGAAGCACCCTGTCGTGAAGCTCTCTCTCTCTCTCTCTCTCTGTGATCGGTAGTACCCCAGGAGAGAGAGAGAGAGAGAGAGAGAGAGAGAGAGAGAGAGAGAGAGAGAGAGAGAGACCCTAAACTAACTAACTAACCCGCCCCCAAAAACGAGGACGACGATGACGATCAAGTGAGCTATCTGTTCTGATCAGTTTGAAAAATGGCGCGCCGACGTGCGCGCCCACCACAGAGAGAGAGAGAGAGAGAGAGAGAGAGAGAGAGAGAGAGAGAGAGAGAGAGAGAGAGAGAGAGAGCCTAAACTAACTAACTAACCCGCCCCCAAAAACGAGGACGACGATGACGATCAAGTGAGCTATCTGTTCTGATCAGTTTGAAAAACGCCGCGCCGACGTGCGCGCCCACCAGACAGAGAGAGAGAGAGAGAGAGAGAGAGAGAGAGAGAGAGAGAGAGAGAGAGAGAGAGAGAGAGAGAGAGA